ATTTATGATAATACATAGACTGCATATATGCACATGTATGCCACATATAGGCAAAATTGAGGTGCATATATGTGCATATACAGGCCATATAAGTCTCCTGTATTGCTTCTTTATATCCACATATAAGCTCTTTATGTGCATACAAGATATGTCTCCCATATAGCTTACTTTGGAAACTGTTAAACATGATGCCTAGCTCATATCTTCTATTATTAAGGCAGTAACTAAGAAAAAAGAAAATAAAAGAAGAAAAACGTATGCATGTGTGAAATTGGCATGTTATGGAATTTAACTATGACAAATAAGAGCCCACAAGGAAAGAACCTCGATAAACATATGTTTTAATATAGGTTTTGATATAAGATTAATATCGGTTTAATCTTAACGTATGTCACATATATTAAAAACTTATATTAAAATATATATGTTTATATAGGTTCTATAGGTTCTTTCCATGTGGGATATATTAAAAAAATCAATAATACTACATGACAAATATTCACTTACTTTCTGGATTGTGGTTGATCTGGATACTGTCCATGCTTGGATGGCAAACATGGCGGATATTGGCACCAAATAGCATTTAATGGAGGAAGCGTAATAAATTAGACAATAAAACATGGGAGTCATGACCAGTTCAGTAAATCCCTTTTATCCCTGTGGGTTCTACCATTGCAACGCACTTAGAGTTTAAGTGCTTGATAATACCTTGTTTTATGCCCACATCCACCCTTGAACGGAAAGGGCATTTCCTCTTGGCTTTCTCATTTATTCTGCAAACGCCACCTAGATCAGATAAAGGCCCATCTGGAAAACTGTCCTACAATAACCCACTGATTAATATTGGCCTAGTCCCCTGGCCTCACATCACACACAGTTGCACAGAAACAAACAAATAAACAAAAGAAAAGAAAAAAGTTTAGTCAAAAGAAATCACAATTATTTATCATTCTCATGCTTTCAGAGGCATGAAAGTCAATGAGATTTTTAAACAAAAGATTGTGACGCAGATTTTGCATTGATTTTTACCGGCAGAGACTGAGGTGATTTATCATGAAGAGATGCAGAAACATCATCCTCTGCAGAGTTGCTTTCTTCAATATTTTCCTGACAATAAATTGTCTTCTGTTCAGATCATCCTGATGAATTGTAAACATATTACATTTTGTGAAATACAATAAAATAAATCATTATTGAGGTAATATTCATAATAAAAATATTAATAAAAATGAATTGCGTCACAGTGGCACAGTGGGTAGCACAATCGCCTCACAGCAAGAAGGTTGCTGGTTCGAGTCCTGTCTGGGTCAGTTGGCATTTCTGTTTTTTTTTTTTTTTTTTTTTTTCAGATTTCATTTCTGTGTGGAGTTTGCATGTTCTCCCTGTGTTTGTGTGGGTTTCCTCCGGGTGCTTTGGTTTCCCCCACAGTGCAAAGACAATGGTATAGATGAATTGAAATTCCGAAATTCACATTAAATTGAGATGTAGCCTTTGTTTATCACGATATTGATTTTATTCAAATGATTAAAATAGAGCAAAAACAAACCAACTAACAGTAAAAAAACAAACAAACAAACAAACAAAAAACACACACACACATTTATAATTCTGTTATAATTTTAGAAAAAGGTGACAGTAAAGGTATGAGTTGTTATAAAAAAAAAAACTTTTAAAGCATTCATAATTTGTATAATAACTAAAGTAACTTTTACTTTTACTTTTTTGTTTTATAGAAGTATATCACATAAAGTATTAATCTAAGTTAAAGGGATAGTTCGCCCAAAAATGAAACTTTAAATTCAGAAAATTTACTCACCCTTGATTTTGTTTGTTTGTTTTGAAGACAGAATAAGTTATTTTGAATAATGTTGTAAACCTGTAATCATTGGCATCCATAGTTAGAAAAACAAATAGTACGGAAGTCAGTGGTTACAGATGTTCAAAATTCTTCCAAAAAAATATTTTTTTGTGTTCAAAAAAAAAAAAAAAAAAAAAAATTCAAGGTAGTTGGAAAAATTCAAGGGTGACATTTTTAGGGGGTGAACTATCCCTATGAATTATATGACGAACAAACGATATTGCTATCCCAACACGATCTCACTGCAATTCGTAGCTTTTTGATTTAGTGGCTAAGTTGTATGAATTTGTATGAACTCATCCATACAGTTTAGTATGAGGTGCCACGCCTCCTTTTTAAAATCGTACATTTTCGAACTACTGAATTTGTACGAATTTAAACAAATTAGCCACTAAACTGGCAAAGCGTAAAATAGTTACATTTCCTCGTAGTTACATTTCCTCGTGTGAAGGCTGGCTATTCTTTGCATAAAAAAACAAAACAAAACATACTTATTGATAAGGAAAATTACAGAATCAATAGCGACGTGTTTTAAGCCATCACCGTGGCATTTCTGTGTAGAATTTGCATGTTCGTCCCGTGTTCACGTGGGTTTTCTCCGAATGCTCCGGTTTTCCCCACATTCCAAAGATGTGTGTGAATGCAGGGAGTGTATGAGTGTTTTCTAGTGTTGGGTTGCAGCTGGAAGGGTTTCCGCTGTGCAAAACATATGCTTGATAAGTTGGCGGATAATAAAGGCACCCAAGCCGAAAAGAAATTGAATGAATGAATATTACCTGTTTTAGGAATTTACGACTTACAAGACATCTGCTTAAAGAACTTGTTAAAGAATGTGACAAACTGAAAATAGCATCACTTGTATCCACTGGCTTATTCAATTAGATCTTTCCGTGCTACTGGACTGTGAGGTTTTGTTTGGTCTTAATAGTTTCTCCTTCATAAAGAGATACCCCATCTGGTCTAATTTTAAACCGTCTGTAACATGCAGCCTTCCCTAATTTTCTCTGCAGTGAAGTTACATTTTGCTTGTTTGGCTAATTCAAAGTGATGGACCCAAAGGAAATCGAATTACGCAAAACTAATTATCTATTGGATCTGGTGCTGTATGTGGCCGCTGCCTTGGTATGGTTTTTATCTAGCTGTCTTTAGGAGCATGTTCACTGTAGGTTCACACCTTCCTGTAGTGGTTAAAAGGGAATTTCTGTGCACTCTTGAACCGCTATAATTAGTTACAACTATAATCATATTTTTAAAATGCACAGAAAACAACTTTATGCTTCATGTTTTTTTCAGATACTGTAAATGCTCTTACTGTACACAGTTACATATATCTTTAAAATAATTCTGATTATTACATGCGTACATAATTTATGTAATATGTTGTGTTGAAGTATGGGTTATTATAATAAATTATTAATTTTTCTGTACTTTTTTTTCTAAGCTGTTGTGGGGGTTTTTAGTAATTGATCATACACCACTAGAAAACTGATGTAATACCTTTGAAACTGCTGAAAATTTCTTTCTGAAGCACACACACACACATTTGAATTCTGCATAAATTAACTGTGGCTAAAAAGAGCTTTTTAAATCCAATCAAGCAAACAGAACTGGATATATGAGTCCATGATAAAAAAAAAGGTTTAAAAGCATCAAAAGATTAAAAGTGCAATACATTTTTTGTTTGCCCCCATGTTTTAAAATATTAATAACACATACACATTGATGTGGATTTTAAATGAGGTTTAAAGTGTACAGTTGGGTTAAGTTTTTTTTGTCTCTGCAGACTTTTAGTTAGTTTTTATTTTTTTAGTAATTTTGTTTTCTTTAATCAGGATATTCAGTTCCATATGCCTGTTTACTCCTTAGTTGATATGCCAATTTTATTTTTGATTAATAAGCACTTTATCAATTTATTAGGATTTCTGTTTTCACTATTTCAGTTTAGTTGATTGTTTGGTAAGTTTGTGTTCTGTGAGCAGTTTTTAGTTTAAATACTTACAGATCAGTTTTATTAAACCACACTGCAATGTGATTCTTTTTTTATTTTTGAGCTTATATGTTTTACTGTGTGTATTAGTATATCTAAAGAATGAACATATTTGATAATTACATATGACCTTAAAGATGCAAGTTAATATATGGCATATATTATGTATACTTGAAAATAATTAATTGTTTTGTACAATACAATTTGTACAGTACAATTTTCTATAGTTGTGTAGTGGGAGAAGAAACTTAAATTGTTACGGCTGATTTATTATTTCGCCTGTTGCCAAGTCGCGGACCTTTGCTGACTGTGCACACACCTCGTGAAACGAATGAGGTTTTTGTACTTGACACGTTTGTTGTGATATTCTTTAAAATGTCAGGGGGCGATCAAAAGAAACCCACCGTAAAGTCAGACAGTTAAACAGAGGAGTAGGAAGTTTCTCAAATCATCATTAATTTCGTTCAAGATTTTTTTAAATATTTATTTTTATTCATTTTGTCATTTATTTTAATGGCATATAAGCAGAGGACACAAATGTGCTTTTTATTACTTTTTATTTTAGGTATGTTCATTTACTTATATCAGTCTTTGAGTAGCTCTCAGCTGTGTGTGTGTGTGTGTGTGTGTGTAATCAATGGAGAACCAGAACAGGTGTGTGTGTGGTGCCTAAAGGGAGTTGTAGTTCATATGGTGACAGAATTGTAGTCCGAGTGAGTGAATGTTGTCCAGCGATCGCTGGTGATCGTGATGCTTATATTGCTTGTAAAAATATGGTGCCATTCATTTGAAACCATGTGTTTTGCTGCATATATTGTTTAAATGTGTTATTTTGCTGTTGTAAATGTGTAATGTTACTGTTTGACTATTAACATTTACATAATTAATAGTTTAATTCTTATTGGGTTTTGTGTGAAGATTTAGTATTGAGTCAAGTTGACTTACTTACTGAGTACCTCAGTTACTTTTCAAACAAAGTAATTAGAAAAGTAATTTAAATACACATAATTCATTTCTTTATTAAAGTAACTTACCCAACACTGCAACACTGAGAATTAAATTGTAAACCTGGAATATAGTTTTGAAGTATTCCTGCTAGAATGTTTAAATGTTTTTCCTTCTAAATCCTTATAAACTTTCTCTTTTCCTTTATAGGGTGGCATGATCGCTCTTCTGCTGTCCATCCTGTGCTTGGTGTTGATCCTGTACACTCGCAGACGCTGGTGTAAACGTCGCCGGGTTCCTCAACCTCAAAAGAGCGCCAGTGCTGAAGCTGCCAATGAGATCCACTACATCCCCTCAGTACTGATGGGTGGACAGGCCCGGGAAAGTCTGAGAAATTCGCGCGGGCAGGGCCACAACTCGAGTGGCACCCTCAGCATCCGAGAGACCCCCATACTGGATGGGTACGAGTATGACATCACTGACCTGCGGCATCACCTGCAGCGGGAGTGTATGAATGGTGGAGAGGACTTCACCAGTCAGGTCACCCGCACGCTAGACTCACTTCAGGGGTGCAATGAAAAGGGGGGCATGGACCTCACTCCAGGTGTGTTTTTAAGATTTTAGTAAAAATATAAATTCATATAATTGTCTGTTGAAACATACAAACTATGTATAGGGATGTGCAATAGTTAGGTTCAAGACATCTTGGAGTACTTTTTATTTTTTTATTTAGCACATTTGTGTATGTCAAGCATCAGTTAAGACAACATTAGCACCTGTTAGCTTTAATTGTGGGGACAACGAAATATTTTTGAGGTTTTGTCAGCTAATTTCATCTTCCGGGTTTAAAATAACTTTTAGGATGGGATCCTCACGATTTGTGTTTCATTTTGTGAGCCAACTGACAAACAGTTCCCTCTTTTTCTCCTGCTTTGCTGGCCACGCCCACTCCTACCTCTGCTTGCAGTGCTCCACACCCATCATGAAGCATTTTTTAAAAAGAAAAAAATTGCTGAGGTTTGCTTAAATCGAAATATGGGGTTTAATGGCCCTTAATGTATTTTTAAACATACAAACTGTAGGATTGTGTGATAGACAGTTATTGGTAATATCATACTTTTTGTTTTAAAAATGAAGGACCTGACATTTTAAGGTATATCTCTCACCTTGCTAACAACAAAAGTTTCTAGAAACTATAAACTATTCGATTTAACTATTGAATTATTAGAAAAAGAGTTTAGGTAAAATTACCCATTATTATTTATCAAAGTAAAAAGAAATTTAAAAATTACAAGGGCGCTCTTTTCTTAATTATAACCTCATGAGCATGAATGATGTTTTGAGAGTTTACAAACAATAAAATTATATTGAAAAATATTAAAATTGAGAACATAATTGTCCATTTTATTTTAAAAAAAGTTGCAAACAAAGCAGAATATTTGTGTCTGAGCAAAACTGCGATGTTACTCTGTTATCCAATAGGTCATTGGAATCAATGATTTACTAATTAATTAATAAACACTTAAAATATTTGTAACATTGCATATGCTTTATATTGCCACTTTGATAGGTTTTAAATAAAATAAAAATAAATAAAACAGTTATAAAATAGAAATATAACTGACAAAATTCCTCTAAAATTAGCAAACAAAACTAAAAAAATCATCCTAAAATAATTTAGCTGTGCTGTAGTTAAGGCGCTAGATGCTAACTTGAAATCAGCATGTTTTTTTTTTATGTGTAATGAGTTAATTGATCTGTTGAAAAGCACCAGGTCTCATTATGCTTCATTAAAACCAGTAATAAACAAATCATTCATGCGTAATGAACTGGATCGACTGTTTCGTTGAAAAAGTCTTACTCAAAACAATTTATTTTCTACTAAACTCTCAGGAATATTCCAATAAAGAATAGGATGGATGTCATGAATGTCAATGACTAGAGATATTAAGTCATATAACTGCAGCTTTTAAAGCTACAGTATGGCTTCAGAACCATATCATATAGTTAAAAACACACCTTCAAAATCCTTTTTATTGTGCCTTTACATCTGTTTTAAGCCATTGGATGCTTCAATGCACATTAATTGTAGTTATATATAAAACAAGAGAAGAAAACCAGCACAGTCTTCAAAAAAATAAATAATAAAATTTCCTTTTTGTGTTGTATGGAAGAAATTCTGTCTTACAGCTTTGGAATGATATGAGAGGGAGTAAATGAAGCAGTTTTATGTTTTGACTGAACTGCCCTTTTAACATGCCCAACAATATCTGAGCTATAAAATTGCCAATAAAGCCTCAGACAATAATCTTAATGATTTTAATAACATGCTTTAATCATCGCCTAAATTAATTCACACTCCCGAATCAGTGTTTTGATTTAGTGCCTAATTTCAAAGATAAATAAACAGCTTGGCAAGCCGGCCTTGAATGCTTAAGTGAACGGACATGATCAAAGCATGTTAAGGATCTTTCTACATTTGATATAGACATAACAAGTCTTTCAAAATTATATTTTATATGTTAAATCCTTTGAATGTCTTATCCATATTCTCAATATACTACTTTGTTTACAATCCATGAGTCTGTGAGATGTAAATTAGATCTGTTAAGCACATCATTCTCACATTGCTGACCCTGAAAATATTTATTTCACCTCGATAGCTCAGGAGTCTGAGCGGAGCTCGTCTTTTTGGTTTGTGGCTGAGAGTGAGAAACCCCAGGTTAAGTGCAAGCTCTAGAAATTGGATAAAGCCTCTATCAAAACCACTGCAGAGCGGAAATCAGCATGACATATTTATTTATTTGGTTAAAGCTATTTTCCCTAAATAATATCAAAGTAATGATATTTCTGCAAGGCAAAACTGTTTATTTGGCCAGAGGTCTAGGGCACCATTGAAATCCATTTAGCACGAAATCTAGGCACCCATTTCGACCATTTTCAAATTTTGCAGTGTAAAAAGGCTATTGAAAGCAAACCCATGTAACTGTAATACCATTATCTTACTTATTCACTGAACAATCTGTTCCTAAACCCCACTTACACACTTCTCACAAAGATTCTAACATTAATGAATGCTTGCTTTTCTGGAATTTCTCATAACAGAATTTGTGAAACTCAAACCAGTCTTTTTTTAGTGGTGATGGTTTGTTCAAACATCGGTTATAGCAGTGTTGGCTATATATATATATATATATATATATATATATATATATATATATATATATATATATATATATATATATATATATATATATATACTTCATTTTAAGTGAATAAAATTTTTATATTTGAATGTAACTTGAATGTAAATTACACTTTCAGAAAAAAAATCTTACAATAGCAGCTGAAAACTGTTTTGAACTTGTCATGAACACGGCGTACTGTAGATTGTTCTAAGGAAGTTTCTTAAGAACAAATGAATGGAAATTCTTAACAAGATATTGGTGAATGTTATTGCTCAATATTATTTCATTAAAATCAGAAATTGCATATTATTTGTTACCTCAAATCACTACATTGACTGTATATATTTGAAATGGCATATTATTTAAGGGTAGTCTACCTTTCTCATACAATGTCCTTAAAGATTTTTAATGTGCATTAAAATGTATATTGGTGATGATTTTAGTAACTATTATGTCATAATATTTAATTAGCATACTACTAATTGTCTGTAATGCAATACATTTTCACATTCATTAGAATGTGTGTCCTGACACTTATTATTACAAATCCTAACATAACATAAACAAAACTGATTCCAGTTTGTGCTGTACTGGATAGTTTTCAATAACTCCAGAGCATTTTAAAGTGGAAAATTCAAAATGAATCACTCCAAAATGATTACTCCCATTTATTTTATCTACCAAAAGTTTAGCTTTGAACCACATTTGTTGGTATTTAGAGAATAATAATAATAATAATGATAATAATAATAATAATAATAATAATTATTATTATTATTATTATAACTACTTACATTTAAATAGCACTTTTCATACACTAAAAGCGCTTTAGAAATTTTTTGGGGGAATCTTTTCATCCACCACCAGCATCTACCTGGATGACACGATGGTATCCATGCTGCAGCAGACCGCACACCACACACCAGCTGATTGGTGGAGAGGGGACGGAGTGATGAAGCCAATTGTAATATGGGGATGGTTAGGAAGCCATGATGGACACAGGCCAGTGGGCAATTTTGGCCAGAATGTCAGGGTAAAACGACCACAGAGTCATGACCTTGGTTTAACGCCTTATTGGAAAGATGGTGCTCAGTAAGAGTACTGCATAGAGTCCCTATCATTAAAATGTGTGTAAGGACCCACACAGTGCGCAGGTTGGGGGCCCATTGCTGATCACACTAACGTCACTTCCGGCTGCAACCTAGCTTTCCCATGTGGTCTCCCATCCAGGTTCTGACTGGTCGCAGCCCTTCTTAGCTTCAGTGGGCAACCATGTGAGTTGCAGAGAGCCAAAACAAAACAGCTCTTACACTATTACATGTTACAAAAAAAGCTAAATATGATCTGACATAAAGCAGCACGGTTGCTCAGTGGTTAGTACTTTCGCCTTACAGCAAGAAGGTCGCTGGTTCGAGTCTCGGCTGGACCAGTTGACATTTCTTTGCAGAGTTTGCATGTTCGCCCCGTGTTCATGTTGGTTTCTTCTGGTTTCCCTCATAGTCTAAATATATTAGCTATAAGTGAATTGGATGAACAAAATTGGCCATAGTGTATGCTGGTAGGGCATTTGCTGTGTAAAACATATGCTGGAATAGTTGCCGATTTATTCCACTGTGGCGACACGGGTACTAAGTCAAAGGTGAATGAATGAATGATCTGACATTTACATTTGTTTTAGTCTAATATGAACAGTCAGATTTACTGTTTTGGTCACTCTACATATTACTAGCATTAAGCTTTTCAATAATCAAGAAAGAATTAATATGATTCACATGACCATACCTGAGCTTGTGCTGTATTGGCCTTGTCGCTTGGACACACAGAATTTGGAATAGCTGCCCCTCGTTGAATGTAAAATGATGTTGATGTTTGCCTTGAAGAGTAGCCCATTATAAATACCCCCTAAAAAGCATTGCAGGAGAGGAGCGATTCCATGCTGTCATAGTAATTTGCTTAATACAATAAAAACCCTGCAGTGCCAGTTGTCTTTGTTGTGCAATTTACTCATTATGAAGGGGTAGACTAACTACGGGGGATGGCCATGTTGCGTAATAGTGAATGACGGCACATCATATCCCGAATTGCTGGGCTCTCAGTTGCTTCCGCTGTAATATAACCCTGAAAATACTTCACACAGACCACTTAGACTTGTCCTTCTCAATGACAAGTGTTTACATAAAGTGTCTCTGCATGCCCTTGGCGGACTGTTATTTGCTGCTCATATGTCTGTCTCTTTTTATCCCTAATTGTAACCTTTTTCCATCAGGGAGTGATAGCACAAAACTGTCCCTAATGAGCAAGTACAAGGATAACATCATTGCTACCAGTCCTGTCGACAGCAACCACCAGCAAAACACACTTCTTCCACACAATACCTCCACCAGCCAGCGCAAAAGGCTGTCCAGCAAAACACACGGTGAGTTTTCATAATGTATAAAGGGTAAAGTGGTTCTTGTAACCTGGTGGTTCACATCCTACACTTAAATATACAGTACATTTTGTACTGTGGTTATCTGCAGTGTTGGGGGTAACGCGTTATAAGTAACGTGCGTTGGGTAATAAGACAGTGTACTGTTCTAGTAACTGAGTATCAAAGGATATGGGTTTATTTCAAGTCAGATGGAGTATCAGGTATGTCAGTACTTACTGAAGACGACAATAACAACAAATGATTGGCATCAGTTCACGTTCTCCAGGTAAAATAATTATTTTGTCTAAAAAAAACAAAAAACAAAAAATGGTTATTGCTTTTAATGTTGAGGGGATGCAGCCACTGCCTACAAGCAACTTCGTTTTGTAATATAGTAAGATTTTTTTTTCTCTTTTGGGAAGGGATTTACATGTTTATTAAGGCCACGTGAAGCAATTTATTTAATGTATAAAGCTAAAAGATTTATTTTGATTTGGGGATGTTTAGGGACCTTTTTAAGTTACTATGAGGTACACATTTGAACATTTAGGAATTAATATGTACCCTTAAGGCTCTGATAGGAACATAAAAGTACCTTCTGAAAAGGTACTGCCCCAGTGACATATTTTGTACCTTTATTTCTGAGAGTGTAGAACTAATTTGTATATGTTGAATTTGTGTTTAAAACATTTGTCATGTAGACAAGTAACAGTTGTGCTTTGTTATTTATTGCATTTATTTCTAATAAAATTTGAGTGTAACAATGTAAAAATCTGACCAGTCACTGTTGATAAATATAATGTTTTAGCTGAAAAAAGTTATTAACAACCTCACATTTTTGATTGCTAATATAATGTATAAGTAGATGTCAGAATGATATACAGATGTGACAAATTAAGAAATCAAGTTGTTTTGTAAACAAATTTTTTGTTTATTTTTGTTTGTTTTAAACTATTGATAAAGCATACATAACATTTAAAATAAAATGTTTCAGTTTTAATGTTTAATAATAATAATAAATGATATATATAAATTACAGGAAGGGCGTTGGTTGCCCTAAATGACAATATTTTCAACATATGTTCATTCTGAAAACGTAGACCCATATACAGTTCTGGAGATTGCAAATTATGTTGCCAGATTTATGTATGGCTGCATTTCGTCTTTAAAACAAACGCTACGGGACTGTATGATGACATTCCTTTTCGTGCTTACCTCCATATGAATAGCTTTCTCGCTGTTACCAGTTTGTCTAGTTAGCTTGCCATGTAGGTTGGCGGACTTAAGCTGCAGAGAGTAGTTGACCACAACAACCAGGTTAACAACAGTCCGGCGAAGAATGGTTCCAGAAAGCAGGTAGGGCAAAAACAGAATCCAAATAATAAAATGAACAAGTAAATAACAGGTTAGGAATGTGGTAATATCTTAAAAGGTATTAAAAATTTAAAAAAGTGTTTTTTTCTGTATTGCTTTTTAAATTTGTTAGTTGGGTATAGGGAAGTGGGTGGGTGGGCCAATCAGTGCTTTTGAAAACATTCTTGGTGGGGTTTAGATAAGGAGGAGGGTGGGTCAGTTGATTGGACATTCAGTCAGTCAACTGTGGCCTCTTTTGGATTTACATGAGAACAGCAGGTATGAATAGTGAGATAAGTTTGAGATCTCAAAAAGCTTACACAACAGCCTCTGGTGTATTTGCGAAAACAAAAATTGCAGTTTCCTGGGACATATTTGGCGCTCAGAATAAACCAGAGTTAAACATGTTATTTCAAATTTGTATAAGACTTTTATGATATAAAATAAAACGTATGCTATTATTTTACTCAGACCTATACCCATAAAATCCAGGAAATCCTAAGAAATCAAACATTTTCCAGTCATCTCATAATTCTGTTACACAGCTGTATAAAAATGTCTACATGTGTGGTGGGAAAAATGAGATGTCTTATTGGCATTAATCAAACAGTACAGAAACCGTGACCACAGAAGGGTGATATAGACTCAACCGTGAGAAATCACGGACTGCTCTGAGAGAGACTGCTCTGATTACACCCCCATCGAATATCCACTTCCATCCACACAGATCTCATTCCAGCCGCTGTCGATGTCTGTAATCATAACCACACACAAATATTTGTCTTCCAATCTCTCCACTGTCCCGCTGTGGCTCTGAACTTCTCTGTCTTTATGCTTGACTGATCACACCATCCAAAACTTTGTATGTATTTGAGATATGCTTCTAATATTTATTGTGAGTGGAGGTGTACCAATATCTGTATGTCATTCAGTGAAACATGCCTAGTGCTATACAAGATGTATTCCTTACTCAGATTTGCTTTCGACACTAATAGCTGATGTCCAGTGAAGTGTTTTCCTTGAGTAAGAATCTAATTTCCTAGCTGGACAAATATTTGCCTCTCTGCTCCCTCTTTAATGCTTCATTACTTCATTCCAAAAGATGCGCAGTCTTACTCTGACCTTCAGACCACCTGTTTTTTTTTTTTTTTTTTTTTTTTTTATATACCAATGCACTTGGATTCAAAAAGTAAGGGTGCACTCAGGAATTCTGGCTTAATTAAAAAGCTTTACCGAAATTAATGGAAAAGAATAACAGAGAAAAATATATAGTAAAATAAAGGCTTTCAGTGGGCTAATAAAAGTTGCATTAGAGTTGGCCACAGTGCTGATACTATGATCACAATGATCAGGTAGATATTTTCTTTGCCTCTTTCACCACCTAAAGAATAAATGAATAATGGTTGTAACACATAGATTGTGATGAATAAGCCCATTTTATTTCTTTAAAAGTCTGAACCTACACATGGGATCATTGAAAATGCTCACTGGGTATGTTTACATTGACATCAGTAATGTAATTATTTACCTCAATTTAAATAATAAATCTAAATGAGATGTTTATGCGCCTAAATCTAAATAATAATTAATAAATCTAAATAAGGTGCCATTTATTTTATTTTTGGACTTCAACTGCAGTTTAATATTTTCACTTTCATTCAGTAACATTTCGTTCATGCCCCTTGATGATAATATTTAATGTGGAGAAACCTGACTGGCCTGCACAGAGTCCTGACCTCAACCCTATAGAACACCTTTAGGAAGAATTAGAATAGAAAATGTAAGCCAGGACTTCTCGTCCAACATCAATGCCTGACCTAACAAATGAACTTCTAGACTATGGTCAAAAATTCCTATACACAAACTCCTAAACCTAGAGAAAAGCCTTCCCAGAAGAGTTGAATCTATTTTAGCAAAAAGTAAAGTGTGAACCATTTATTATAAGCCCTACGAATTAAGATTGGGATGTCATTACAGTTCACATGCATGTGAAGGCAGCTCTCCTAAACCTTTTCCAATAAGTGTAAGTGAATAAATCATAGTTATTCCTTCAAATAATGACTAGACATATACTATATTTACACCGTAGGTAAAATTGTGTTTTATTAGCAAGAAGCAAACAAGCCAGATACAAACACCGTAGGTTAAAGGCTAAATTATAAAACTTTATGCAGTATTACCATGTCTATTGTAGAGAATATTAATAAAATGGATGCTGCTTTATTTGGAGAAGAAAGCCTTGTCTACAATGTATCTATGCAGTTTAAATTCTAAATAATTTCATATTAAACATAATTTGTTATTTTATTGCCGTGTTTTGAACATTTTATTTTTTTACATTTAACTAAAATGCCTTTGCCCTTTTGTAATAATAATAATAATAATAATAATAATAATAATAATAATAATAATAATAATAATAGTAAAAATAATATTTTAAATTTATTTTATTTATTTATTTTTAATATTATTAAAAATAATAACATATCAAGGTTTTCATTGCTACGTGTCATATGTTCTACACCACTGCTGGTAAAACAATGTTTGTGTAAATAGACACTCTATACTGTAAATTAAAAAGGTGACCCCAAACGTTGTTTTCCAGTACTAACATAGGCATATAGACCAATACTGATTACAGTCATATAGAAATATGTAAACGCACAATAAATAGGACAAAAAAACGTGCTGTATTCCTTTGAACTTGGAGCTGCTGGTTTCTGTTAACAATGCCATAGAATCGTGGGTGTAGAGATTTATTATCTGTAGAAATAAACTTCCAAATAGCTCAACTGTTTAAATCTATGTAGGCATGTGTATTGCCAGTTTGTTAAATGAACTAAAGATGAGGGTTTATCTCTGAAGGTTTGAGTCTGTCTTTGGTTTACTGACCTCTTACAGCTCTTTCTGATAGCTCAACAATATCTAATCCCCAATCTAAATAGCTTTTTATATAGTAGTCATATACAAGTTTCAAATCAAAAGATTCTTTAATATTACTGAGAGATTAATGACAATGTGACTTTGAAACTGTTCTTCTTTACTCTTCACTAACGAACCCTACATAACTGCCGAGGCTATGCACAAGCTCTCAGAGCAGTCCGTGAAAGATGAAATCTGCTAAAGGCTATGTTTAGACTCCCGTGCAAACATGTGTGAGCGCACCGATCCTCTCAAGTTTTCTTTTTTTCTTTCTCAGTCACACCTGCCTCTCTCACCTCATCTATTTATACCCCTCATTTTTCATTAGACAAATTAAAACTGTTGCTATTGGCGTTTGACGTTTTTCAGTTATCCGTAGGTCAATGGTATTGGCGTAGATGTCTGTACTTCACCTTTCCACATTTTGCGATCATTCTGGTGACATTCTGATTCCAAGACCTTGCAAATGATTGAGTTTGAGCAGCCTGAACGGTGCTGCAAAATAACTTTTTTCGTTGCAGGAGGCGTGTGCACCTGCACTGCATGCCGAAAAGCTGTTGGCGCTCCGTGTTGAATATTTAAACGAGCTCATCTTTTATTCCCCTCCACGGAGCTTTGCACCTTTGGCCCCTGCCTAATTGTGGAGGCTCGCGCACAATCCTCACCTGCTCTGTGAGGTTTACGAGGTTTAATTCCTTTGAAGGTGCTTCTTTTGTTCTCATTTGTTACCA